GTGTTAAATTTTCTCTTGCCCCCCTTTCCAACCTGTGTTGGAGCCCATGAGATAGGTGGAAAGATTAAAGACAGAAGAAACATAATATTCCCGCCTCTGAGTTATTCCTATAAATGAGTTCATTTATATTCCAGAAATGCTTCATCTTTTTCGTACTTGAATAGTTCCAAAAGGAGCCTCTCTATCTCTTCAAATAATCTAAATTCAAACGGTGCATATTGTTTCAAAGGTTTAGACTGCATATTGCTTCAAATAATCTGTGTTCTCTGCGGTTGTTAGAAACATTGCCGTCTCATATGTTAATATTTTTAGTTTCCTAAAATATGTAATTTGTTTCTTGCATAAGGTCGCAGGTGCTGCAGTAGCAAGCTCTTATGGCCCATTCGTTTGTGTTATCAACCTGGAATCTTCAGTATGAATACCTTTGAGCAAAAACTATAATACTTGGACATTTATTACAAATATTTGAGCTTTCTATAGTGGACTTATAAGCTAGCGGGCTATGGATGGCAACAAGAGATTGCCTTGTTATTGGAGGACTGGGTCTAAGAGTTTAAACTTTGCGATTGCAGTTAAATTGGGATTAACTACCTCCAAGTAATTTCCGTGCTTTAGTCTTCACTTTTTCTACTTATATTTTACCAACTGGTAAATCGAAGACACGCTTTTCTCCCTCTCTAATTTATCTAATGTTATATTCCGCGGGCATCTGCTTTCAATAACGACTTCGCGCGCTGAATTTAAAGCAGCACTTTCTTTCTCATGATTGCATATGTGCGGAAATTGTGTTTCCATGACAGCCTTTTAATAAGTTGAGAAATCAGGCTGTCGGCCTAATTACAGAAGTTGCCTTTGCAAACAACATATTTCTGCTGAGCAAATATCCGCACCGCAGTTTGGCCTTTCCATTCTTAGCAAAACATGAGGTTATTCGTATTGCCAAACGTAGAACTAAGGATCGTATTTGTTTTCTATTTCACAGTGAAAGAAATAAGATGGGTGGATAGGCAGACGTTGTCACAGACTCACAGTCGCCTCTTAACAAGCACAGGACCATTGAAACAACCGAAATAACAACAACAACAACAACAACAACTTTTCTACTCATATCAAGAAACATTGCCATCTTAAATATTAATTTTCACTGCGAGATTTCATCACTTTTCATTTTTACTTTCCGATTATACCTGAAATAATATATCGCTCCTGTTCTGTCTGTACCATCTTTCAGAGTTTCCTGTATTCATTGAGTAATCTGTTTGCGTTAGACATTTAGCAGTGAAAAATATCTTTTCCATTTAATTTCAAAGCATTTGTAAACAATGTTGGTCAAAAAAGAAGATATTTCTAGAAAGTTTCAGCTTGAAACATCAAGTAAACATAAAAATGTGATGTTATTAATTATCATAAAACACAAAACTCTCAACATTTTTTCTCAAACAAGATATTGTTCAGAGCTTCCTTAGTTTTGAAAGCATGAGCCTTGAGTTTATTCAAGAGAGTTGCTTACATATGAAATGGGTAAGCCATCTATACTTCACCAACTCCAAAGTAGGATAATCTGAAAACCTCCCTCGTCTCTTCTTGTCACTTTTTCATTTTTCTTCTTTTTACAAATCTGTTCTCTTTTCTTGTTGAGTATTCTTTTTCTTTTTATTCTTTATCCTCATCGCTTCCAAGACCATTGCGAGTTGTTCTTCGCCAAATTGAAACCTAAAATAAGAGATCTGGTTTAAACCCGTTTAGTTGGTTGCATTGTTTTTCAAGCGTATTAGGCCCATTATCACTGACTGTCTTCGGATATCATGACAATAATTGTTTTTAACGGTTACTGCCCTTGTGATCAAGATCATATAACCATGATAGAAAAGATCTCTCATTAACCAGTTTTTAATAATCTAGCCGTTTTTGCGTTCAAAGGGTTAGTCAGTGAATTGAACGGAGGTGAATTTTCACTCTGTTTGTTTAGGTTTAGTCTCATAATGATGATAAGTTATTGGTTTTTAAGACCTTGTGGATATATCGATCATTTATGAGGAGAATTTGCGGTGAAACTGATTAAAATGGAGATATAAGACTGCTCCTTTCGGGTGGTCACGATTTCTGATAAGTGCACCCAGATCCTCAGCTTCCATTTCGCTCTTTGTGTTTACTCTGCAGCGCGCTGGGGCAGTCCTACGTCGAATAGCGGTAGAGGACCCTAAGGTCCGCTCTATGTATAATCATGTCCAATGACACTCAATCATTTTGATTGTTATTCTTATAATCTTAGCACGAATTCATAAAGTAACACTTAACATATTTATCTTATGATCGGATTACTCAAATTTCATTTTCTTATTCAACTATTGGACTCCAGGCAGATCGACCTACAATTCTTTGCTGATCGACTGATTGCATTCAAATGCTGCATAGAATTTTAATAGACCTTGTGCTACACTCATTTTGCACTTTATGCAGAGGTTGATGGGAATATTCAATATAGCTCTCTTGGATCGAGTTTCTTATTTTAGCTGTCGGTGTTAGCATTTAAGGGAAAAACGAATATCGGCAAAGATCTGAGATGATCTCCACAGAGAGATCTTGCCAACGTTAATTGAGTAATAATTTCTTGCGCTTCCAGCGCCGCGGACGTATTGGCGCATCGTTCATTTGCAGTCATGGTGGACGCCCCTGCGGCAAATCAACTTTGTGAACAAACAACTTTGCTCATTTGTACCCTTAATAACTTAAAACTGCTAATTGGTGATGGCATCACCGGATCGTCTTTTGCAAGTCGTTGGTGTTCTGTTTCGTCCTTTGTGTCCTCTAGGCCGGCCTTTCTTGCTTTCCTGATGCCAGCATTTGATCTTTGAATATGGCACAAGAAATGTTACGTTAAAGCCAACATAAATCTAGCTGATTCAGATCAGGGCTTCATGTCAGTCAATGCTTTTTGTAAAACTGCAATTTTTTCTGAAACTTTGTCAGTCTTTATATCAATGGTACTTGTAATTTATTGTGTCAGCCTGGCGCTTCATGCCCAGTGAACAGGCAAAAATTAATCTTAAATATTCTTAATTTTGATTCATTGGGATGTTCTCAGAAGCAAATTTTTGTCTACTCAGTTGTGCAGAACACCCCTCGTCTCTTTGCCCCATTAGTTTTCGAAAAAATGCCACATTATAGAGAATGGATACGCTTAACAGGTACATCTTAATTTTTCAGCGTCCCCTCATTTTACCCACAATCAATTTTGTGCCGAAGACACTGTTCATGTATTGGCTAGATATGCACCGAATTATTCCCATGCAGTTCTTGTTCTTAAATTGCTCATTTTAGGAATTATCTTTGTTTCTAGAGACTTTTTTGTAATTTTATAAGGAAAATGCATAAAGACAATTTTTGGATAAGAATTTATCGCGTTTCGCTTTCCCTTTGGGCGGTATTTTGCAAAATTGCGAAATTGCGGGTCTCGAGTGCAGCCATTCCACTAAATTTGACATGGCCTTGACAAAAGCTTTGTTCTGACAAGACATGATTAGTGCAGATTCAATAGGAGAAAGATCGCCATCTAGCTGAAAAGGTGTCGCTTTCAATCGGACAAGAATTTAGAATGCCGCTCATCTTGGTTTTTGAAAAGATATTCATTTGATGATACTTGTCGTATATGCTACAACACTCTTAATGCAGATTATCGTAATTTTGGAAAACGTGCGCTTAAATCTGCAATGACGTCACGCACGCAAACCTTAAACCAAACCACAGCTTTGACGGCTACAATTTCGCGCCAACGGGTAGTAAAATATCTCTGACAAATATAGATATTTTCAAATTTTCACAACCAGACAGTTTTTGACGCCCAGAAATCCCTGCATTGTTCAAAGCATGAGAACTTGTTGATGTTTTTCAGTCGTACGACAAAGAAGGGATCTTGGTGACTAGCATTTCATATACCACGTGTAACAGCTGCATTGTCTAGGTTAACTATGGCGAAAGTTGGTGACACTTACAAGTACATAAACCACAAAGTGAATCCGCAAATATATTTTCTACTTGATTTTAGCAAAGCCTTGCTGATTTCGTTTAAACTTTTTGGTCGAAGGCACATAGAACAAGCCGAAAGCTTATATTTCTTAAGTCAAATTTATGCTTCAAGCGAAATGTAAAGATTGGTCCTAAATATTTACATTCTAAGCAAAGTTCAGTGACTTTTCCCAAGCTTTAGCCATTACAGATTCTTAAAAAGAGGATTTTATTGTGAAATTGATAGTATTCAGCATTTTAAAAAAACTTTAGTTTGAGCAGCAGTCATTCATGTGGTAGAATCTTTGCATCAATTGTCCAAATTTCTGATTTTAAAGAACATTCATTAGTTGACAAATTGGTGAACAAAAAAGGCAAGTGGATTTGCGATATCTTAGAATAGTAAGTTGACCGTGCTTTCCATTGATTATTTGCCCAGTGTCTTTGCGGTTTTTTTAGCCATTTTAACCTCTTAACAAGCAAGACAGTATGCGTTCTTCTTCCATAAGTGCTTTGCAGTTGTTCACATTTCCTCGGATTTTCCCTCGTTTGAGCTTCGATCTGTAATGACGCAAGCTCCGTCTTTTCCCGCGTGCTAACATCTGCCTCCCGCTTCCGATGGCAGTATCATGAAGAACGCCGTTTCAGCCTGTCTGATGTGGTAGAGAAATCAAATCTTTTGTTTCTCGTCTTCCATTCTGCCTGCATTTCTAAGTTTTCATTAACCAAATTGTGAATAAATCGAAACATGGGTGTAGTTTATTGACAGGGGGGCTATGCTTCAGAGCAATATCTTTTCTTGAACATAAAGTTTCAGTAAATAAATCAATTGCTTCTGCTAGCCTTCAAACCAAGCTTTTCATATATTTTACAGTTGTGTAAACAGTATGTCAAATTAAAAACATTTCTGATTTAGTCATTCTTTCACTGCTTAATGTTTATCAAAACTAGACCATGCTGACAGAATTTGACATTAATGAATTAATGTTTGTCATATATACTCTTGTTGATGCTCTCGTATTTTAGTAATCAATAAGATTATTACATATACTTATAACACCTTATCTCTCATTTAATAATAAAATTGAATAAAATTATTGAATAAATTTTATTTTATCGATGGTGAAATCTTCTAGCAGTGCCCAGCTTCGGAGCGTTATTATTCATCGATTTATTCGAAATGGCAAATTTCGTAATCAGTACGATGCCAGATTTTCAGCATTGCGTCTGCGTTCATTTCCTGCTTGTTCATACTCCCACGCGGCCTGCAACGCACGTTTGCAACCCCCGTACAGAAAATGAAACTTGCCAGTTCTCTAACTTCACACCAAAAATTTGATCATTTCTCATTTTTGGCCAGCAAAAGCAAGTGCCTGTAACTTTGCAAAAGTCCTGATTAACTTTCCTACCGACCGCTTGCATCAGAACGCTTGAATTTTCTTATTAGGAGTCGAACTCAAATATTTTGGTTGGCTGTTGACATATACGATTTGCTCAAGTTTTTCACAAAATAAACCTTTCAGTGTACTTGTCTAAATACTCAACAGCTATTCTTTATAATTCGTCTGCACAGCTCGAACACAATCTGACATTATACATATGAGCCTTCTAACACGAACAAGATTTATTTTGATAGCGGAGTGGTCCTATGTCGTGAGTGTCGAATTTCCAATGTTGTCTTCACCAGCCCGAGGATCATGGAGCCTTCGCTTTTAACAGAAACGTGGCAAGTTTTTTTACGTAATCTTTTGCATATTCTTGAAACAGATGAAACAAATTCTTGCTCGCGATGATAGAGGCCGAAAATCGTATTTTTAACATTGCCTCGTAAAACTGATTGTTCACAAATATTTATCGATTTCAGAAAACATTTGAATCATACGGAATTCGATTATCATTTGGAGTGAATCAATATTATTTAAGATATCATTTGTTGTTTTTTAAACGACATAGCAAGAAATCTAAAGTAAAACGCTAATTTTCGCTGGTGGCCGAGGTTGTTCGGTCGCCTGTCAATAAAGCGGCAATACTGGATTCCTATTTGCTGTTGGACAATAGGTGAGGCGGGGTTGCGCGCAGTGTGTGTTTGCTGAAGAGGATAGCAGAAAACAATGAACGTTCATTGTGAAAGCACGGAGAAGAGAGCGTTTGCCGTGAAAGGAGGACAGAAGCACTTATAAGCCGCCGCGCTCAACACGCATCGCACTTTGAACCAAAGCAGGCCACGGACCAAACATATCAAGAGCTAAGTATATTTGCCTTAGATTAACGCACTGTTTTCGATTTTAATGCTCTTTATTTATCAACTTGTATAAATAGAAGAATGATGGAAGGAATGCAAGTCATTCAAGACCAAGTTCAAGAATATGACGTGAAACCAGTCATTTCGGGAGCTACGATGGGTCTTACTGATTTACCGCCAAGTTCTGGGGCATCAAATAATGCTGATGATTCGACTGGAGGTACTCCACCGCCTAGTGGAAAGGGTAATGGGTCGTACAAACGAAGCTATCAACATGCAAAGCCGCCGTATTCCTATATATCACTGATAACTATGTCTATACAGAACGCTCCTTCCAAGATGGTAACTCTAAGCGAAATTTACCAGTTTATCATGGACTTATTTCCATATTACCGGCAAAATCAACAACGATGGCAAAACTCGATCAGACACAGTTTATCTTTCAACGACTGTTTCGTCAAAGTTCCTCGTTCCCCTGACAAGCCAGGCAAAGGCAGTTTTTGGACGCTGCATCCAGATGCAGGTAACATGTTTGAAAATGGTTGCTACCTTAGACGTCAGAAACGATTCAAAGCAGAAAGGAAAGCAAATCTTTCTCATCTACCAAGACCGGATAATTTTGCCATGAACGGTATGCCAAAGATGGATATGGGCCCTCCACGATCTCTCACAACCCCTGGCTTTTTACCCAGTCCTTATGGACCATACAGACCAGGACTTCACTCGTTCAACCATCCATTTGCTATCAAAAACATCATTGCACCAGAACACGAAGCAGATTTCAGATCTTATGACCCTGGAATGCATTTTTCATACCACCCCTCAACGTTCACGCCCCCGTCGATGGGTTCTTACCCCAAAAGCATGGACACTGGCATTGCATCGTCGTCAGACCCGGCGTATAGCATCGGTATGCCCTCAATGGGCGGTATGAACCAATATTACCAGAGTTGTATGCTGCCTCAGTCAAACGGGCTGGCATCGATTTAATTTGCTCTTGATAGGAGGCATTTGCATAGCAAATGAGAGGGTATCTCGCTCACCATATGTAATTTTTAAATATTATCCTTTTAAAAACACTTTAAACTGAAATCGCCGTAAATTCGCTGTATATATTACATTTGTATATATACATACACACGCGGAGAGGCTGCTCCATTAGTATATTTAAGTATTAGGGCATATCCTATGCCAACATGGAAGCGACTATGATCTAAATTCCAATCATGCATCGATTATAGTAACATATGGTAGTAGGGCTGTTATTGCAATTATGACTAAAAGAAATTTCAAAACATGAACTTATAAAATAAGATACACATATGTGATGATGTTTTCTTTTGATGAATTGTATTTACAGCCATATAGCTTTATCTATTGCAAAGCAGATTTATTGACAACGTGGCCATGCTTGCAGCTTGCCATTTTTCCTCCCTTCAGAGGCATTTGAACCCATCCATATCAAAGTCACACAATATTAAGTTGTACTAGTGCTCATTTGTGTAGGCTAGCTAATAGTATGTGTCTGATCGATATCTTGATAAGGCTTTTGAAATTCCGCACACTCAGATGTTTAATTTTGCAGTAAGAATACTCAGTTAAAGATATGCTGGATAACGGATCGTAAGAATCATTACGCCAGACTTAATGCCATTATTCCGATTCTTGTTTTGATAAAACCGTTGAAAAGCTTGAGAAAAACCGAGATCCTAGAATGTTAATGTTCCGGCGAGCTTTCAAATCGATTGTTTTTGAGATTTTCTTTTAATCGAGTTATAGCATAGAAATGACACATCAAATGCCAGATGTTTCAAGGTTCTTTCTCGCATGTTTTTTGAATTTTCAAATTTTCAGTTTGATGCCGACAGTTGTTGTGATTTTTATCAATATTTTTAGTGCAGAATTATATCTAGTTTTTATATGATAAAGACAATCAAATTTAATTTTCAATGATGATCAAATTTGTGTAAAATATATAAAGATAAATTATTGATTTTATAAACATGATTTAGAAATGATATTAATTGTACTGTAAGTTAGAATTGTAACCCAAAGTGATTCGTATTTGCTGGATTTAAATACGAGAGTCGTTGCTAAATTATTGTCATGTTGGTGAAGTTATTTCGTTCTCAAATATTTAAATTCTTGAAACGTCTTTACGACAAGTCCTTAGACATGCCTGCTATGTTTGACCTGAAACTCAAATCGCATCGGACAATATTGATAAAGTCAGTGAGAATTTCAAATAATAAACTAGCTGCAAAGTGTTCTGTAAACTTGAAGATCATAGAAGCCTTATTAGCAACCTTTGAGCTAGCATTTCTTGGAGATTGAACCATAATTACTTGTCCTAACATTATTTTAACCCAAAACCAGAGTTTGTTTTGTTAATTCGGTCTCCCATCAACATTGTGGTTCACAGAAAATAAGATTAAAGTAATATTTTGTTTGAAGTGGGCTGGAATGTTCCTCGCCGAAATTATTGATTTCACCGTGATGGGAAGCCTGTGCAAAGGTTCTTTCAAATATGTTCTTGTGTTGTTTCCATCCTTTTGAAATCGCTTAATCGCAAATGATGAATCTCGTTAACCTTAGGGTTGATCGATGTATTAAAGCGAATTGCAAAGGGTTTTCGGAATGATTGATTCGAAATATCAAGAAAAGGAAAACCCATTTATTTCTGAAAGGAAATTGGTCGAGAATTAGAATAATTTATTGCCGGAATATCTTAAACCAACCATTTGGGATTTTTAAACACATCTTGGTTATCTGGCCCATTGAACAGCTAAGCTAAAGCTACCTGTGCTCTTGTGAAGGTTCATTTAAATTTTGTTTTTAAAGCAAGGCTTTGCACTTAATAGTCAAACTTGCACGTCTTTCGCTTGGTTTCTTTGAAATCAATGATATTTTATGCAACATGATGAGCCCCCTCCATTTCAGCTACTGACATCCTCGAAGCAACTTCATACCAACATGAATTTATGAGCAATTATTTTAGATATTCGTCATCTGTAAACGTTGTTGTGAATTTTACCTTTTGCCACGTTTACATAAAAGTTTATCAACGGCCTAAAATTTTAGTGCTGTGCTTGTTGTCATACACTGGGAAATACTGTAATGTAAAGTTATACATTTTAGAAAAGTTCACGGTAAATTATTGTAGATTGTTTCGTTATCAAATAGTACTTTAAAATGCAAAGTTTTCTTATTTTTTTTTAATTCTTAACACTTTCGAACTGGCGGTAAAATTGAACCTAACCGGCTCATGAATAGCTTTGTGATGTAGTTGAAGTTTTAAGACAAAGTGTTCGATTCTTCGTCGAGGGGTGGATTTGTTTTTAAAAGGTTGATTGGCGTGTTTGTAAATAGAACATCATTGGAAAAGGAAAGCGATTTCCGCCCACATTCTGTTCGCAAGCGGCTCTTCTGGTCTTGTCAACCAGAGGAAAGGAGGAAGGCTATCCTGTGCTACGATTTCAAGGGCTTACTTCTTTGGCAATAAACAAAGCAAACTGCCTTGTCAAAATTTTCTTGATATTAACACATAAGTTTTGGAACGGTTACTATCAATCCAATTTTAATTATATATGCCGGCGAAAAGTGATGGTAGTCAAAATAAATCATTTTCAATGAAGCTTATTGAGTTTTTTTGGTATTGGAATATTTTGAATTTATTTGGGGTGATAAATTTTTAAGTTTGGTTCAATATAGTCGAAGAGAGTTCAGTAGTTTTGGTTTAACCCTGGTTAAACTTCACTGAATTTTATCTTCAATCTGATTCACTTTTGAATTATAATATTTTTAAATTCATACAATGTAAGAGCAATTAGAACTTCATTCCAACCAGTTAAGCATGAATTAGAAACTCACTTTTCTACATTAGGTGAAAGTTTCTTTCTTGTAATTAGCCTTATCATGTTTTTTTCGGTTCAATTTGTGCCCCGAAACTTTCCAATGTTATGCAAATACTTACTGTTCTTTTCACTTTTGTGACAAGCAAAAACCTTTCATGCTAGTAAAAATAAGCTATAAATTCAACACTTAACAGCGATGTTTCTCTGTTTTCAACCACATGGCAGTATTACCACCACAAAAAGACAAATAAACTGGCTTTTATTTAGAAAACTTTAAATTCTTCAATTTTTTACATTTTCTTGTTCACTTAGCTATTTAATTTTTTTGTGCCGGAAAAATGTTGAAAAAGTAAAGAAACAGTTTGGTTTTAAATTTTCTAGCTTTTTGGGAAATTAGACCTTACCACAATTTTAAGCCAGAGGATTCGCTTGAAACCGTGGGCGGATAAGTACGAAAATCTTAAGTTGTTCCATAAGCCTTTTTGCCAATAAAAATCCACCATAAGAAGCTCAAATTATTGGTCTCTTGACAACCATCATTGCAATTAACTAACTCAACACATACATGAATTGATCAACTAATTCTCGGTTCCTTAAAATCCTATCTTTCTTTATTTGTCAAATGCAACTATTTGCGGCAGCTTTCTGACCACATCTTTCACAAAACCCTCAACTGATGCTCTGGACCCCGGTCAGGCTCGTTTTGAAAACAACTGTAAACGAGCTAAAAATTTCATCTTGTGCATGAGAAATATTGCAAGCTTATTGGTTTTTTTATCAAATTGACATGAATTGTAGGAGACGGTAGTGTTTTAAGTTTTCATCTCTTACAACTGACCAAGATTAGTTTACGCGCGTGGTTGTCGGCAGGTGGTACTGCCTTGGTTAGTGTTGATATCAATCGTTAGCTTCTTGTTGATCTAGCGTTTCACGTTTAACACTCGGCTGACAACTTTAAGGAGATTTATCAGCCTGCTCTCGAGTGTCCATTTACCTGTTATCCTTATGCTAGATACTTATCTTCCAGCAATATTTCAAATAATCAAAATTAATTTGTAGCAATAAAGCGAGATTCGTTAGGGCTGCTGATAAATTTGTGGGTCAACTTGGACCCAGGCTCTGGGGAAAAGGATCTACGACAGCGTAAAGGGCGGGCGCCAGGATGCTCGTTTGAAAACGTTGTGACCACGCTTTTATAAACAGCAATTCAACATCACTTACTGTCTCCGTTTGCAGGTGTGACAAATTTCGAATGATGTAGGGAAACTGGTCTCTTTTTCTGAGATTTGGCACCTTTTTAATAGGGAATACCAAACCTGCAAACCACAATTGTCGAACGAGGAGAATGAGACTGGGGTGTAAATGGTGATGTATCTGAAACAATTGGTTTCACAAATGGTGAAGTATTTGAAACACTAGATACATTGCTGGTCACAAGTCATGTTGCCTTGTTTTTATTTCAATTAATGATGGTATGGACCATTCTTTCATTCTTTACAAGAACACGAGCCTCAAAATTGGTCAAAATTCAAGAAAAAAACTGTGGCTGAGCTAATTTTTCAACAACGTTTTTTCTCAAAAACGAAGAATTTTAGCCATGTGTGGGTGCTTTTTTGGTGAATATTCAAACTTGTCAGCAAATGAAGGTTGTTTCACCCACTTTGTTGGCAAATGAGGCCTGATCACCTCCCTAGAGCGAAAAAGCTAGCAATCACACTGCTTACACTCTACCTATTAAGAACAAATTCAGAACAATCCAGCCAGATTTTTAAAAAAAATTAAGAACAGTCAGCCTGATCTTAAATTCACTGGTTCATATAAAAGAAAGAGTGTACGCGTTTCCTTAATTCTTTTGCCTCAGCGTATAACTGAAATCATAACAACATTTTTCATAGAGAAACGGCCGTGGTTTTCAATGTGACAATGCTAGGTATACAATTTCATAAGCACACATGTCTCTATTCTACCACATGCATTAGTATATATGAGTTATCAATCAAGTTACTTTCTTTTTTCTATAGCTAAATACCAGAAAATTTCTGCTGAGGCTCTAGTGTTTACCTCAACATTAGTTTCTCTACATCTACATGCTTTACAATTGCTTCTAGTGCCACAGATAACAGTTGGCATGAAATTGAAGTACATTGACGTGAAGAAGCGCAACAAAAAGACATTGTTTTCTTCCAACTTTTCATTTGAGCCCGGCCATATTCTTAAGCCGTTCATATTTTGTGGCTAATTGAGCCTCGGTGTTCCTACAAAGAAACAAATGTATTATAAAATGTCACTAAGGAGGGTGTTGCTGTTTTTTTAAGAAACGTTGTACTTGATCTTGTTTTATTTCGAAATTTCTAACCTGGAAGATCGAGGTTTTAGTCTCGGATCTTTTATCTTAACCAAGGCTAGATTAATCATTTATCCAGTCTTCAATCCTATAATTTTTTTCCTATGGATCCAGCCAGTGTGGTGTCACCTGTGCTGATTTCCGTCTGAAAAGTTTTTAGTTGCAAACTGGCCTAATGTCTTATCGTGATTATCAATAAAATTGATGGCGAAGGTAAATTACTTGACCCAACTTGGCCACTTTTCCTCCAGCTTTTGGTCCGAACTTTTTCATGCTTTCTTTATTAGACATGTTAAGAACAAAATGAACATTTGGCCTCAAATGAAAGTTAGACGAAAGACAATGTGTTTTTTAAAATTAACGCTAATGTTATGAAGTAATGTTATGCAGTATTTATTTGTCTTAGAAACGTTTTGTAGAATGTAGTTGTAGCAAAATTACTTTTGAAAAGCCTCAAATTATCCAAGAAGCAAGAATGTTTAATCTTAGCATAAATTATCTAGCTGTCGTAGAAAGGTGTAGGTCATGACTGCGAATTATGGTACTCATGAATAATTTTTTGGAGTAAAATGTGAGGTTATATGTAGAATGATGTATTATATAGAACAGTAAAGTGCTATTTGGGTAACCAGTCAGATTTTAAATCCACGCTTAGCAACCTGTCTGCACTTTTGACAGAAACGTGGCTAGGCCTGTTTTCAGAAACATGTGGCAATGCCTGTTTTGAGGGAGATGGCTAATCCTGTCTTGCTGTGATCCACCAGTCCACCCAAAGAGAGTACATTTCGTTAAATATCAGCCGGTCTCACCTTTCAAAAGTTGGATATCTTCCAGGCCCTTGAGAGAAGAATTCGAGCTGACGCTCTAGACAACTCACTCGTAAAATGGAATCCTTTGTTTAGAATATTTTGGGGGCAGTGACAAGGCAGCTGCTTGTTTAGGACTATATACCCCCGTTCCTTTGTTGGGCTTTCCAATTTCAATCTTTCTTTTCAAATTCCTTCTTATCATTCGGTTTTGCTAGTTATGTCGCACTAGAATTGCAGTCTTCAAATTGCGCTGGAAACAGATTTGCTTGTGTGGAAATTTTTGTAGGACCATCTTTTCTTGTTTACTATTTTAGAAGTTTCTATCACTCCAGATTATGACCAATTAATTCATACTTATTAATTCATCAGAAGTTTTCATTTATTGAATCTATAATTATGACGGCTTCAATCCATCAACGGGAAGCTAGTATTTGTCCTTATGATTATTATTGCGGACCAATGTAGCTTTACGTGAATACGAAAACCTGAGCAAACAACATGTGTGTGGTTTTATCGGCGTGCAATGAGCTCGTTGATAGATAGGGGATCAAAATCTTCACAAAGTTTATTCCCCACCAGTTCTGCAAACAATGATTCTGACTCAAAAACGCGGTACGAGAACCCGCCACTCATTCAACAGTGCTACTACCGCCCAATCCGTGAGCACGTCTATTTTGGACCAGACTGCTAAACTGGTTGCAGAAATAGATCTACGAAGCGGCATGACTAGGGTGAAGCCGAACAGAGGAGTTGATGAAAGGTGACAACATTTCGGCAACTGATTGTTGATGGGTCTGTAAATAAACCGGTCTAAGAAAATATGATCACTATCATGGCTAATCATTGCACGAATCATCGTGATAACAGCTATCAATCTTACAATCGCCTTGATCATTGTTATCAAAAACCAGCTGCGTAGCTGTGTCAGAGATCGACCCCCTCTTCTAGAGAAAAATGCAAACGTAGATTTGAGTTTGGAAAGGCTATATAGCTCTATTTATGTTAATTCACCCCTTGTCGCGCGTTTGCATTTTCCTCTAAAAGATTTTCTTACCGTAATTGAACCTTATGTTGACACCATCGTATGCCCCCAAATTTTTATTTTAGTTCCTATTTTCTTGTGGCATATCAGGCGTTCTGTATCCCCAGAAAAAGGCCTTCATCCATTTAGTTTTCATGTTGGGCATAACGG